TTTCTCTTTGCTCCCTACCTTTGCACTCCAATCACCAGTAATGATCAATACATCTTGATTGAATATTTGATCGACTTCAGACTGAAGAAGTTGGTAGAATTCTTCTATTTCATCTTCACTGGCTTTAGCAGTTGGTGTGTAAATAACTGGACTTCCCTGTAGATGCATGGATATTATCCTGTCTCAGGCAGCCTTGTACCTCACGACTGATCTGAATATGTCCTTTTTGACGATGAATGCAACACCATTCCTCTTCAATCTGTCATTCCCTGCATAGTAAACCATGTGGTTGTCAGATTCAAAATGCCCAATACCAGTCTATTTCAGTTCACTAATGCCTAACATTTCGATGTTTATGCGTTCCATTTCATTTATGACAACTTCCAATTTTCCCAGATTCATACTTCATACATTCCATGTTCCAATTTTCATTGGATGTTTACAGCTGTTTCTCTTCATTTTGAGTTGTGCCCCATCAGCGAATGCTCAAAAGGTACAGTACAGATGTTTCTCAAATCATGACTTTTCTGTCAAGTTCAAATTCATTTTCAATGGCATACCAAATATTTACTAGAATGGTCTACCACCATCCTCTGATTCTACACTGGGCCAATTTGAGTTTGGCACATAGTCCTTAGCTGGAATTCATAGTAGGTTAATTCTTTAAATGGCAACATAAATCCTCTAACAGCTTCTGCTCCAGCCTTTCTTCTTTCTGCTGATGACACTGCTATTCTTATAGCCAGTTAGGTTCTAAAGTCTCAGTCATTAGTACTGAGGTGGCACTAGGGTTAATGCGCTGGGCTGCAAGGTCGCTTGAACTGCAACATTGGCAGTTCAAGCTTACTAGCCGCTCCTCGGAAACCCTACACAGGGTCGCTGTGGGTCAGAACCAACTTGAAGGTACTTAACAACAAGAACCCGAAAACAATGGTCAAAAATCAATGAGATAATGGAGACTGAAGACGGAATAAGCTTTAATGGTTTATGGAAATTAAATAATGGATTAAAGGCAAGAACAGAGGATAGGAATTTTAACAAATACCAAACCACCTAATTTATTCAAGGGGACATGGTTACTTTTTATTAGGGATCAAGGAGGAAAGATAAAAGGTGTTAAAATTGTTGAGTCATTACACTATTGTCAAAAACAAAGGAAAACATCTTATCAGAAAATGATGGTGTGGTATTTTGAACATGTATCTCATCGTCTGTTAAATATATAGGGCTATAGCTTAAGCGAGAAGAAAAACATCGAGGTATAAATCTGGACATCACTCATATATATGCTATTGTTGTGTGCCATTGAGTCAGTTCTGACCCATAGGGACCCTGTATAGGATGGTTTCAGGGAGCCGCTGATGTTTGAACTGCCAACCATGTGGCTAGTAGTTCAGCGCCACACTCATATATGGGGCAATAAATAAAGGAATAAAAGAGGTGACTTCACTGGCAGAGAGCTGCAAACAGAGAAGACAATCAAATAAAGCCCTAAAGAATTTCTCATAAATTAAAAAGACATAAAAAGTAGGCATATATCTCTGAAAAGTAGGAAAATGACAGATCAATCGTAAGGAGAATACAAATGAAAGAGAGGATTAATAGGTGTTAAAATGACACTCACAGAGACTAAAGACTAAGAAAAGGATACTAGATTTGAAAATTTAGAGTTTGCCACAACCAAGAAGTACTGAATTTCAGTACTTCAAATGAGAAAAGATGATATAGATGAGTGTTGATCTACATGGCTTACTTGAAATATCTAGCTCTAAATGGAGAGAGGAAAGAGAAGAAAGAATAGTTGATTTTATTAGCTGAACTAAGTGGACAGTTTTCAGGATAGGGGAGTGTTCTGTACATTAGCATATATCAGACAAATAACCAAAACAAAGCAAGAGTATTTACTGATTAAGAACAAAAGGGAAGGAATGGTCAACACTGACAGAAATAATAAAAATTAGAAAAACTGATTTTGCGTAGCTGTTGAAGAATTTGACTTTACATGAAGAATTTGACTTTACGTGAGTCAGTAATGTATTTGATGTTACCATTTCTTGAAAACTTAAAATTGGTAGCATTTAGAATTTTAGAGACATTATTAAAATAATTACAAAGGAACATCAATCTCCTGTTTCCAGCGCCCCTAAAGAATATCTATTTGGCAGTATTGTATCTACTAATGGCAGATTTACATAAATGTCATCTCCAGAATAGATGGCTCATAAAAATCAGAATGGGAGATTTACTATTTATAAAAAGAAATTTTTCACAAATGCCCGGATACTTGCTTTTAACAAAAAGAAAGAATAGTTGGGAAACTCCATTTATATACTGTTGATTTTTTTAAGCTTACTGTTCCTTATCCAATATAAGGTACACACCCAAGAGAAATCAGTCGTAAAATTAATATCTTACTCTATAATTTAGTGAATGATCTGAAACCTGCTTTTAAAAACAATTATTATTCACCAGTACAAAGAGAAGAGAGATGCTGGTACCTTGAGCAGTGAGTATTGGCAGCTGGCTATCACCAGGCAGAACTGGAAAACCCAGATATCTCGGAAAAAGCCTTGTATCAGAAGAATAGATCCCAAAAAAGCCACAAGAATAGCCAAAATGACAGCTAACACATTTTCCAGGATCTCACGATTTCTGCAGATAGAAAACAATTGATGAGTACAGTAAATTTATTATAAATATAAGAAATTAAACAGAGCGGGTTTAAAAGGGAAGACATCACTACGAAGCTCATCACATGACTACTGGCATGACTTTTGGTAGTAGATTTGAATAACTTTTTATTTTTTTGTTTCTTTTAAAAGTTGTCATTGTATTTCTTGCTTTATTTTCATTGTGGTAATAATACATATAACAAAATATTTATCGAACAACAATTTATACATGTATAATTCAGTAATATTGATTGCATTCATCACAGTTATGCAATGATAACCAATTAGCTTTTTCCAAATTTTTCCACCCCTATTAACAGAAACCCCAGGCCCAGTAAGAATTCCTTTTCTCCTCCCATCCAACTCTGGACACTATTAATAAATTTTGGTCTCACTTGCCTGTTTTATGTAAGTAGAATCATACAATATTTGTGCTTTTGTGACTGACATATTTGACTTTGCATAATACTTTCAAGGTTCATATAGTTGTAGCATAAATCATGGCTGTGTGCCATCAAGTCAACTGTGTCGAATAGCAACCCTAAAGAATTGAGTAGAATTACTCCATAGGGTTTTCTAGGCTGTAATTGTTATGGGAGCAGATCACCACGTCTTTTTCCCCTGTGGAGCTATGGGTTGAACTGCTAAGTGCAGCTGAGCACTTCACTGTGTCTTTAAACCGAGCAATATTTTGAATAATGTTTAGAGAGAACTGTCAGTATTATTCTGGCATATAATCTTTTCTAGCATAAGTGCATACATTTTATAATAACAGAACTTATATTCCCCTGAACAGTGTGGTATCCTGCTTTGAATAGCAAATATACTGAAAATTAATGAGTTTCACATGGAAACAACACAAATAAGAATGTACAAATAACACATGCTATGTACGCTACATTATGAAGTTGGGATTTAAATAATATGGTTTTTATTTCTATTTTTAAATGTTTACTTTTTAATATCTGCTTTTGTCAAATTTGTTGCAAAGGAATGACAAATGAAAAAGCAGACACATAAAACTCAAATTAAGTTTAAAAACAAAAATCTCAATAAAGTTTTAGACAATTACCCTGAAAACATTTATTATTTTTTATTCGGGTACAAGTAGTTTTTCCTACCCCATCATCCATTTATCTGAAATAACCAAGAAAACTCACTCACTAGAAGGACTTCAGTGCATATCTTTGGGAAGGAGGTCAGTGATAATGACTATGAATTCTGCTTTCTGTCAAAGTGCTAATACAATTTTATTAAACTGACACTGTAGAATAAACAATATAATGGCCAAGATATTCCATACAGTAGTGGGGATGATGTTTTATGTAACATACATAAGGAGCTCTGGTAGCGTAGTAGTTACGAATCGGGCTGCGAACCTTAAGGTCAGCGGTTCGAAACTACCAGCTGCTCCGCGGGAGAAAGATGAGGCTTTCTACTCCCGTAAAGATTTACACCCTCGGAAACCCTGTACAGGGTCGCTATGGGTCGGAACCGACTCGATGGCACATAACAACAACAACAACAACAACATAAGAAAAAAAGAATTAGTCTCTTTACTTCTTGGGTAAACTTTATTCACAAAATATTAAGCAAACACTTAAGAGTCATGCTATTAACGACTGTTTAACGACATGCAAAAATGCTCAGTATGTTTGTAATACAAAGCAGGATACCAAATTGCCTGTTCAAGGAATATACATTCTGTTAATGTATAAAATGCACACATACACAGTAAAAAAGATAATTTACCCAAATAATACTAATATTCTCTTTAAATGAAGGGATGATGGTTGGTCTGTCTTCAAATTTTTCTATATAATAAATTTTCTTAATGGGTAAAAAAATATATCCTAATCACAATATTTAAAAATATATTTTATAGACACTGTAATAGGAATAAACACACAACAACGACAAACACAGATCACACAAGTGAAGTATCTCATAGACACCATAAGGAGTTTCAAAAGTGCTATCTTCACATAATGACCTTTTATAGGGCACAGAGACTAAAGGAATCCGCTCCCACAAGCATGACAGGTGGCAGCAGTTACGCTGTCACATGGCCACAGAGGCCACTGGAAAGCAGGGAAGGAATACTACAGATAGGGGAGCTCACAGTCTCTGAAGCTCCCAGGGTATGACATCACAACCAGTTTACCAGTAAGGGATGTGTTCAGGAATGTACCTAAAAGGGCTGGCTGGGGAAAGTGATCTAAAACCCACTTTTAAATATACTGAACTCTGGCAGTTCTGCTATCAGGTGTGTGAGGTACTCAAGAAAAATTGGTACCTAAACACTAAAACCTAGGCACAAGATGGAATTAAGCTCTGCACGGCTAGAGTCAATCATAGACAAAAAGCCTTTATATTTCATGGTATACAACATTCCCTCCTGTTGATCAGAAAGTGAGGAAAATCACTTAAATGATCAAAAACCGGGACTTTGCTGGGTTCCTAGATAATGGCTTATGCAAGCTCTTTAAACCATAGAGCTCTTTCACTAGACACCATTGGTTCTTTGCCAGTATAATCACAATTTTTTAAGTTAATTTATTTTGTATTACTCAAAAGTTACAATCATCAACTAGGCCTATATATTTTTTGACAAACATCTCTATATATTATTTTATTTAATTGTTTGAGTCCTGATGTAGCTCTGTAGAATAAAGTATTGTGCATTTGGACATCTGCAAACAAAATTTGTACCGATACTCGAAGGAAGTTATACGTTTCTTTAAAAAAAATCGTTACTGATGATGAGACATACATTCCTCACTACGAGCCTGAGAATAAACAGCAGAGTATGGAATGGAAACATCCTCAATCGCGGACCAACAAAAAGTTCAAAAGTCAACCATCAGCTGGAAAATTGATGCTTATGGTTTTCTAGGATTCTCAAGGATCAGTATTGGAATATTATCAGGAAAAGGGTTTGACAATCAACAGTGCTTCTTACAGTGAGATGCTCACTGAAGAGCTGAAAACTAAACTTCAGATTAAACACAGAGGAATGCTGTCCAAGAGCGTTGTGATCCTGCATGACAATGCACATCTGCACACCTTGACCCACACTGTTGACACTCGGCAAAAACTTCATTTTGAGGTGTTAAAGCAACCTGATCCTGCTCTATTGAACTTTCACCTGTTTGGTTCCCTGAAAACAACACTTCAAGAATGAAGATTAACCTCTAATGAAGAAATAAAGTCAGCAGTGTATTCATGGCTCACAGCTCAGACTAAAACATTTATATTTCAATAAGGGAATAGAGAAGCTTGTTGTCAGGTGGACAAGTGTAACGAAAAGCAAAGAGATTGTGTTGAAAATGTTGTTTTTTCTAAAAGTTGATTAAAATAAATTCTACAGGTAGAGTATGGATAATTTTTGACTCACCCTTGTACCCAGAGCCACTATGAATCAGAACTGAGTTGGCAGTACCTAACCACTGTGAGTTTACAACAAGATCAACAGTATTTTCTAATACTACTCTATTCAAAAAGATCAATTTGTATTTCCATTTAGTCTTATACAAGGGGGCTTCAAAAAATTAATGAGAAAATTACATTAACTTAATTCCATTTTTCTCACAAACTATTTGAATCACCTTGTGTACTAGTTATGGACTTTGCGGTTTGCTAAATGTAATGGTCAATTTTCAATCCTTGTCCTGACCTCCCTGTAAAACTGCATAAGCATGTCAAATTCCATCTTTTCATTTAAAATGTACTTTCCTTTGCGACCAGGGGGCAGGCTTGCAGGGTGTACCCTTTAGTTGGATGATGATGTATGGACGGGACTGTAACTATGGCAATGTAACAATACACAATAGGATAAATGTAAAGCTAATGTGCTCTCATATAAACTATCACAGAAGAGAGGACAAATAAGACGTCGGATTGGGATGAAGTGTAGTAAGGAGCTCCGCCAGCAACAACACAGAATACCGGACCAAGCAGGCTCAGGGCATGGTCCCAGAACTCTGAACCACATATAAATATAAAGGAATACTTAAGACGGTTGGAAGGCTTACAGCTGGGGGAATTTGTGGCAGAAGCAAGAAATCCATTGCTATCTAATTCAAGATGCTCACCTGCTCGAGGAACCGCTATCTTGGGTGAGACCAAGCGGGGGAAGGATCAGAGCGGCCACAGACGCCTGGCATAACCGCTGAGATAAAAGTGTGGACATTCTTCTCTTTTGGTAGCTGTTCATTGATCTCTTGCTGCCTGAGCACCTCCATTCTGGAGACTATAGGGGTGCCTGAGCTAGTGGGCACCCTAGCCCCATCCTCAGAGGGTTCTACAACGCATGCATAAAGATCTCCTCGAAATTTAAAGAGACAGTTTCCAATTAAAACCAAATGGCCACAGCTGGCCCTGAACTGTTTACAACTAGAAAAAAAGGCCTTAACAGGGATTGTGGAGTGGGACAAGCAGACAAAAGGAAACAGGCTGAAAATTAAATCCTAAGTTACGTCA